ACAAAGTCTTCAAATTTTTCCCCAATAAAGAGTAAAGAAGTTGGGAAAGTATTAACTGGGAGAAGAAACATGTCCGTGCTTAGGGTCTTCAGCTGACATGCCCCTGGATATGATTTTTTTTTGAAATGATTCTCCAATTACTCAACATAATTTCAAGCCTTAAAAGAATAAACTCATCACTGCTGCTTATATGTGAGCTTCCTTGATATCAAACAAATGTTTTGCAGTTAGAAAAGTTTATTATGAGAATGAAAATTCTAATGCAACAATTATGTAAGTCTTGAAGATTTTGAAAAGATATCGCACAAATTTTGCGAGTTAGAGCACTATTTATTTTTGTATAGGAAAAACATATGATACCAACATAACTATTTAGAACACTCATGGGAGTCAGGAACACTATCTCATTGAAGTATGCTTTCAAAATAATCTTGCTTCAATTAGGACTTTTGAAGGTTGAATCGTGGCCTGGTTCATGGTTTTTAGAAAAAAGATTTTTAAGGCTCAAAATTTATAGGTGCCCACCCATTCTTCGTGATGTTCTCCAACCCTATGTTCAGTTAATTCAATATGAGTGTTTATCTCTCAAAAGGATTTTGTGACGGTTAAGGAAACGACGATGCTTTCGGAGTAGCAACCACCCTTATGTCTTCGTATTTGTAGTCACCAATTTGTTCTTTGCTGAGGAATTTTCTTTGTATTCCTTTCCTTGCAATTTTTATTTTCCCTAACTTTCGCCTGAACTAATTCTTTTGAATTGATAATCCAGCGGGATGCCTTAATTTTGCCTAAGTCACACGTTTTCATGTTTTTGACTTAGCAGGCTTTTTCTTTTTTCTCGATTTTTGACTTTTTGAACAAAATGGGTGACATTAGCTTGTATTTGCTTGTTGAGAAGATTGTGATTGCCTCGTTTCTTGATGAATGAGGGATAACATTGTGATTCCACATCTTCTGGATTCATTATACATGAAAGGTAGCCCTCGTAGTTTCTCTTTAGAAATATCTTCCTTATGAATTTTGAACACTCAATCAGATTAACTGAAAACTACCCTGCCCCAGGTTAAAAGTTGAGGGTTTTTTCGTATAGAAAAGAAACTTCTACTTCAAGGCTTAAAAGGGGTTAGCAAGGGATTATCTTCCTTATACCTCCGGTGTTTAGGGATTAGAAACAATGCCTGTACATCATCAACAAGATCTTATTCAAAAGCATGCAACCAAAGATTTTGTGTTCTTTAGATCATCATCCTCCCTTCAATCTCTGCCTAGGCAAGAGAATGAGCAACAATTTGGTATCATAGTGCAAAAGCAATTTAAAATTTAAAAGCAAATATGAGTGAAACGAATGAATTTCTTCAAGACAAACATACTCATTGTATTAAGATAATCATTCAGATGCAAACAAGTTCTTACATGCAAACAATGTTTTGATAAACAAGAAAAATTACAAAAGCATAAATAAGTTAATAATCTGGGAAGGCTTTCCATCTGGACTTAAATTACCGAAAACATCCTTCAAATATCAAAGTCACTATCAATCGTGTTTACTCTTCGGCGCATGCTTGATTTGAACTTCAAAACCAACGTCCTTGAATGACAAGATACCACTTCTGACCAACTTCTGAACCTCAATCTTCAAAGCAAAGCAACCCTCCAAGTCATGCCCAGGAGCACCTTGATGAAAAGTACAAGCCAAATCAGCTTTGTAATACCAATGTATCTTCTCAGGAACCTTCGGTGGAGGTCGGGTCTGAACCAAATTCCTCTGCATCAGGATAGGGAACAACTCTGTATAGGTAATTGGAATTGGATCAAACTAGGTTTTCCTCTGATTAGGAACTTGCTGATTCTGTTGATGAATAGGAGAAACATGATGATTCTGACAATGATTATTTCTTCCTCTGGTTCTCTTCTTGGAAAAGTTATTATCAAACTTCTTCACACCATTAGTTGAGCTACCATCTTCATATGAACATCCCTTCCCAACATCTTCTTCTAGACGCACTCCCACATTCACCTTGTCAGGAAAGTCATTAGGTGCATTAACCATCACCTTCTCATGAGAGAATGGTTTTAGAGTTTCAGTGAAGACTTTTATCATCGCTTCGTCCATCCTAGAAGGATTGACTTGGGCGGCAACCAGAATTTCAACCAAACCAGTTAAGTGCTCCACACTAGCTTTCAAATTAATCATCTCTCTACGGAGTTCAGAAACCTCTTGTTTGATATTCTCCATTGTTTTCTTAGCAAGAGTGTTGTACTGGTGAGACCAAAGGAAAAATTAAGACTTGGAAATGACTTTTAAAAGTGAAACAAAAAATATAGAGTGATGCTTGATATGTGAATGTAAAAGAGAGTTTTATTTGATCTTCAAGGTATTAAGTTGTAAACATCAAGGTATGAAGATAGAAGATGAATTTTAAATTGGACCAAAGCGTTGATCAAGTTATCATCAAGATTAATCATCCATTTTTGTGGATTAGGGTTTTCACCCCATCAACACCCAAGATCCATTGAGCTTGACGAAACTTGTGATGTTTACAAAGAAAGACTTCTAAATTTCTTGAAAATCGAGTGAAAAGGGCTTTATGGATGCATGAATGCATGGCTATGCAACAACCACAAGCAAGGTCACAAATAAAGTCGAAAGGTTCAACGTCATAAGCGTGGAGTCAAGGTAAGGAACACCCCCAAGGTATGTACTAACGGTTTAATCACACCTGTAGAACAAGATTCTAAGAGTTCCCGGAGTCTACATTCCTCCTTCGGATATTACCGACGTCTTGATTACTCAATAATCAGCAATATTCTCAAGAGAAACTCATCCGAGCGTAGCATCGCGTAACAATTACTTCTGGATTACTCCGTTATAATCTCCGTGCTACACCTAAAAGGCCAAGATGGGTTATGGTTCTACGGTTCCTAACTTCTCTGGCTCCCAGGTCGAAAGAAACAATGTCTTCCCGATTACTCGGTAAACAAATACTACGTTCAGAGGGGCTTCCACTGAGTGGGGGATTTCATGCCTCCTTCTTCGGGATTACTCCCTCAAAGTTAACATGACTATACCGCCCGTTCTATTCCTAAGTGTAACTTAGTCCGGGTATAGGACTTGTCCTTTATAAATATCACCAACACTCAAATAACCACAATATATACATATAATTAAACAATCAAATAACAATAAAACAGATAAGACAAACTAGGCTTAACCCACTTAGGAATGGACCAACAAGAGGTCAATCTTTCCCCAGCAGAGTCGCCAATTCTGTAGCGGTGAAAATCGGAGATCAAGCTATTAATTAACTTGACTCACAAAAGCAAGAGTCGCCACCGCGCTTTATTATTCCCAAGGGACAAGGGGAAAGAGTGAAATAAAACCCTAAAGTATGCAATGTAAAATAATACTTTTAAAAGTAATGAAAATACAAGGCGTTTTTGAAAAGAGGTCTATGGTTCGGGGGTTGGTTATACAATGGGAAGGTGTTAGCACCCAATGTATCTATAGTATTCTATAGGAACCTTTTAAAATATCTGTTTATTAAAATGTTTGTTTGATTAAAAATAAATTGTTTTGGCCGAAAATGGGTATGGACGAGTTTTTGAAGATACGAAGACCTAATGTCGAAGTTTTGACTTAAAAGGTGTGAGTTTTTTTTTGAAGAAATTGGATATTTGGGAAAATTATCCTATGTTTTTAATGAATGAGGGTATTCGCACGATGTTTTTTGATGACATAAAGTCGACAAAAAATTAGACAATTCCCTTGGATTAAATCGAGCAAGTAAAATAAGATGAATCCACAAAGTATAAGCATTCAAAAATTCACAAGAAAACAAATCTAATGAAACAGATTAATGACCAAAAGCATCGAGAAATTAAAATGACAAAGATATTTAAATAGAATAAAAGAGAATGTAACTAATTATCTAAAGAAGTTATTTAAACTAAATTAAAAATTTAAGATTACTTACTAAAAAAATTCTAAACTAACTACAAATTCTAAGGTTGCAAAAATAGTTCTAAAATTACTAAATTAGATCTAAGCTAAATTAAAAATTTTAAAATTAGTAAATTAAATCTAAACTAAATAAAAATTCCAAGGTTGCTAATCTAAAACAAAAAAAGTTCCAAAGTTACTAAACTAAATCTAAATCAAATAAAATTCTAAAAGAATATTAAAATAATTCTAAACAACTAAAATTCTAAACATATTAAACTAATTCTAAATCAAATAAAAATTATAAACTCATTAAACTAATTCTAAATCAAATAAAGTTCTAAAGTCCCTAAACTAAAATTAACAACTAAAATTCTAAAGTTAACTTAAATAAAATCAAATAAAATTCTAAAGTTTACTAAATTAAAACTAAAACAAATAAAATTCTAAAATTTACTAAGTCAAATCTAAATGAAATAAAATCCTAAAGTTACTAAAATAAAACTAAACAAAATAAAATTCTAAAGTTTACTAAGTCAAACTAAAACAAATAAAATTCTAAAATTTACTAAGTCAAATCTAAATGAAATAAAATCCTAAAGTTACTAAAATGAAACTAAACAAAAATAAAATTCTAAAGTTTACTAAGTCAAAACTAAAACAAATAAAATTCTAAAGTTACTAACATAAAACTAAAAAGAAATAAAATTCTAAAGTTTACTAAGTCAAAACTAAAACAAATAAAATTCTAAAATTACTAAAATAAAACTAAAACAAAATAAAATTCTAAAGTTTACTAAGTCAAAACTAAAACAAATAAAATTCTAAAATTTACTAACTAAATTATAAAATCACTAACTAAGCTAAATCAAATATTCTAAAGTTATTAACTAAGTTAAACATTCTAACATTATTAACCACTGAATGAAAATTTTAAAATTACTAACTAAATTTGATAACAATTCTAAACTTACTAACTAATTCTTAAAAAAAAATGTTAAGTTGATTCTAAACTAAACTAATTGAGTGAGGTTTATCTAAAATTATGATAAAAAAAAATTCAGAGGAAAACGAAATGGGCCGAAAGCAGACCAGTCTAGAAGAGGGAAATAGGAGTTTTTTGAAAACCCTAAAACAAAAGGAAGAGGCGATTTGTTGTACGGGGAAGGGAAAATAATGCAAATTTAATATTATTGTTATCAGTTCCAATATAGCAATAAAATAAGGTTGAGACAAAAAAAAACGATCATCTCCTTCTCTCATCCGCAACATCACCCTCTTCTGTTTCCTCAATCTCTCTAGTTCCTTCAATCTAGCTTTCTCATGCTTACTAATCTCAAGATTCGCACTACTTTCATCCTGATTATCGTCGTCTTCGGCGTACTCGCCGGCTTCATCTTCATCAGGCACATTGTCATCATCGTCGAAGCTAGCAGAACGAGCAACGGCTTCGAGTTCGTCTTCGTCGTCTTCGATATGGTCGTTAACGTTATCAACCTCTTCTTCTTCTTCATCGGAATTGGAGGCGCTTGAAGGCTGAGATTTGGAAGTTCTACCCATGGTGTTTTTTCAGATCGAGGGTTTCGTCGCGAGTGTGCCAAAAAGAGGGAGCACGAGCGAGTTTTTATTTCAAAGCGTGAAAGAGTGGAAAGGAATGGCTGTGGGACTGAGTTGTTGTTCCGGTGATGGTATAGAAATGGTGGAAGGAATATGCGCACAAGTTTGAGCTTATCAATAAGAGACTGAAGAGTTCGAAGCTTAGGGCGATTCAAAGCCAGTGATACAACTCTGTCTTCATATGGTTGACAATCATCTCCTTGCGACATAGATGCAAACGTCCAGACGAGCACGACACATCAACAATAATATTTTTACAGAGAAAAAAATGAAGGAGGGATAACTACTTACATATCGGAGTCACTCCGACGGCGTTTCAATCGCGTTTGCCGACACAGTTCCCAGGTATTCTTGTGGATTTATTATTCTTCTCTTCTACTGTGGATTAGAGTGCAAATATTCTTGCGCATTATGTTAACTAAACTGAGTATTTTTGTGGTTCCTGTCAAATTTTCTGATATTTCCTATGTGGTGTTAACAGGGGTTAGTAGAAAAGAGGTAAAATTATGAAGTTCTTCTAGGTATTCGTGTGAGATTTTTCTATGTTGCTGGTATCTATATTTCTTGTCCTTTTTCTGTTAACCAAGTCTAAGTTTATAGAGAGAAGAAAAATGAAATTTTGGGGGGAAAATGTTGGTGAAAACATGAACGAATGCAGTGCCTTATTTCATCTCCTTTTGATGCAGTTTTTATATTTTTCCACTTTTGTGCTACATGTGGACTGTTCTTGGACAGGTTTTTGGCAAGTTGTGGTGCAGATTTTACATCAAAGCAGTAGCAGGGTGCAGCAGCATGACTTCACAGGTTTTGGGCAGCATTGCAGCATACTTTTGGAACAGTAGTGCAGCATATTTTTGGCATTATTTGGGCAGAATTTCGGATCAAGAACAAGTCTTAGCTTTAGGTTTAGATTTTTGTTTTCTTGTACAAACACTTGTGTAAAATTGTTGTGGTAACTTGTAATTTTGACTTAGAGCTTGATTGAATGTAATTTGGGAATTTAAACTTGTGCAACTTGCAAATGGATGAGGCAAAGGTTATTTGGAACTTTGAAGTTATATTTTTGAGATGTCTTGAGAATTGAATGAGTTTGAATAATGGATGATGAATAGTTAGATCTTGAGACTTTGTATTTTAGGCACTTGAAACTTACACTTTGAAGAGTAGTGAATGATATTGTAATGGAATTACTTTGTAACCTCTTGAATTCACATGGATGAGAATCTTGAATAAATTTTACACCAAATCATCTTGCTCTGTTAGTTTAATCTCTAGCCCGAATTGACACACAATTTGATTCCAATTAAAATTTGTGTCGAAATTTGTCTTTGAATTTGAAATGCGTGAATGATGAATGAAGTTGAATTCTTGAGAAAGGTCTTTAATAATTCTTGATATTTTGAACAATTCATATTAATGAGCTTGCACTCTTGGAATAAACTTCGGGAAATTGGAATGCATCTTACTCAAGACATCAAATTCATAAACCTTCTTGAATCTCTCTTGCAAATAAGAACCCTAATGTTATTTGACAAACTCGGATATTTTGGCTTCATGGTATTGGTTACTTGAAAGAAAACTTCACAATAATGAATCCAAATCTTAATTCAAAACTCAAATCCAAGTTAGCTTGCAAACAACAAGAACTTGAAGAATTCTCAACCCTAACTCGCGTCTTTGCCTCATAGTAATTTGCAATACAGACAAATAGCGCAAATCATGCCTTTAAGAAATTTAATCGACAATCCACCTTAATCCAATGATCGCTACTGTTCTATTGCAAAATGACTTGAAGTAGTCCACAATCAATCAAAGAATCATTGGACTAAAACTCCAGTTTCATGAATTACCCCAACAGGAAAATCAAACTTTCTTGAGAAAACGTCTGTGGCATGACTTGCGCCTTAATCTTTGAAGTAATCTCATAAACAACGCTATTTGTGATACTTTGCAAAAGAATCGCCTCAAGACGTTGAAAATTGAAGAAGTTATGACCGTTTGAAATTGAACTTGCAGGAGTTGACTTTTGGTCGAAATGCTTTGAATCGACTTGCACACTTGATCTTTCTTCGCATTCTAAAGCATCTTGATACACATGTAAACCAGTGATGATGAAATCTTGATTGTGCTTTTGGGGAATTTTTTGGAGAAGCTGGAGACCACTTGTCGAACAAGGCGTGGAAATAAACACACGATTCCCCTGATGAATCAGTCTTCAAGAATCAACGATCAACTGTACTTCTGGCTTGAGAGATTCTGAACCCTTATCGAGGCATGACGCCTGATGCTCTTGATTCAGATCTGTTTCCTGCAAATGAAATCAAAGAAACAAAAAACAGACACTTCGTGCTTGATTAGAAGTTTGTGATACATAGGCTAAGAATGTTCAAAATACTTGACAATTTCTGCATAGCCAATGCTCAAAGGTGAGAAGTTAAAACCGACTATATTTAGTGACCTTGACTTCTGTACAAAAATGCAAAAAATAAATATGGGATCTTAGGTCAAAAATTGGGGTATGACAACTATGAGCAAAAAACGAAGGCCTTTTGTATACCGTTTGAACTCGATACCTTATGTGAAAACTTAGTGTTGTACCCCAAAATTTTCCCTCCCATAATCTTCAAAGTTTTTCCAAGCATCACCTCAAATGGTTCAAAGTCTACTCAAGGGCTGCACAGTCAAACCACCCTCCTAACACAGTCAAAATTAGGGTTTTGGTTCTTGCAAAGAAATTTAGATTTCCAAGGGTCCAATCAAGTTCCATATGCCTATATCCATAGTCAAGTATCCATATGTCAAGTTTCAAGACTCACAGCACCAAGTTGCACAGTCAAAAGCCCTAAATGCTCCACAGTCAACTACAGGGGCAAAATGGTCATTTGACAGTCAAAAGTCAAAATTTTTGGTCAACATATTATTTTGAAGCCACAACCATCATTTGATCAACTCTTGATCATGATTCCACAAGCATGGCTCAAAAAGTCTCAAGATGCAAAAGTTTCTCTTTTTGGACAGTTGAAAAGTCAACTGCAAATTGACCAGGGCATAACTTTTTCATGGTTCATCAGAAAAATCCCATCCAATTCTCATTTTGAAGGGGATGACATTTCCTACAACCAATCTTCACACTCCAAGTCCAAGAAATGCTCTCACAAAAAGTTATCAATTTCAACATTATAGGTCATTATCAAAAGTCAACAAAAAGGCACTTTAAGTCAAAGACCATAACTTGAGATTGGTAAATCAAAATGACATGGGACCAAAGGCATTGGTTAGAGGACTTCAGGACCTTTCCAAAATGTCCAAGAACATGTTCATAGCTTCAAAATTGAGCAAGATATGCATTGGAGAAGTTGGGAAATTTTTGTGAAATGGCCAAAGTCAATTATCCTTGAAACTTCATTTTTGACAAAAAGGGCCCACTTTTTCCACTTGGTTCAGCTTGGCCATGCCTCCCACGTGTCCCACAATTTATTTCACGATTAAAAATTGATTTTTCCATTTTTATTTAATTTTATTTGATTTAATTCATTTTAAATCTTTAAAATTCAAATAAAAATCAAGAAAATTAATTAAGGGATATATTTTGTGTTGAATAGCTTTGATACACCATTATTCACATGCCAAATTCGTGCAAGGCCTATTCCAAGCATAAAAATTCAAATTTTGCCAAGAATGGTAAGTTACTTTAATGGAGGTTATGGCAAAATCTCAAACATAAGTGCAAGGGTTAAAGGTGCATTATATTGTTTGATTCTCATTCAAGGATACATAAGCAAGCTTCCCAATACAAACACACGACCTAGAAAGCTCCAAAACGGCCAAACAACTTTCAAATTTTCAAGAGAAAATTCACAAACTGAAAACGACTTTGCAGCATCATTCAAACCTCTCCTTCGATCCAAACATACTCCTGACCCTTCCAGGAACCTCTTGCCATCAGAATTAAGCGCAAAACCTCAAGGAATCACTCATCACGCCCTCACGGTTTGTTCAAAATTTTGAGAAACGAAATTCCATTTCTATGCCTCATTAATTCATTTTGAACGTTATTATGCATTGCTGCCACCATTACAAAACTTTCTGCATGTTTTAATTTGATTATAAGGCTCTAAAACGAAAACTACCATTAGCGATTTCTAGGTTTTCAGAGTTTGGAAATTGGGGCTTTTGCTATACTGTAAAATTAAAACTCCAAACAGGCATGGTTGAACTCAGCATGATGAGACGATTTGAATGGGATCCTCGCGCCTTTTTTATGTTGCCCCAATTTCTAATAGCTATTTTTTATTGTTGGAATTAGTGGGGGTTTAAAACCCCTGTTATTTGCCTGTATTTTTTTGTTTCAGAACGAAGATGATGATGGCGTGGCAACCAGGGAGTGGGCCATTCAAATTGGCGCGCGCTTTTCCAGCATATAACGCACTTATTTCATATATCCTTTTGTTTCTATTATGCTTACAAACGCGCAGATTTGGTTCAGTGGTGGGCTACGTGGTTTGTATTCACTGGGACCTGGGTTCGATTCCCAGGTCCCCCCATAATTCTCATGTTATTTTTCCAAGTGCTTTCCTGTGAAGATTCCAAACTGAGGCGCACCATAAGCCTCACATCTCTGCCTGCCATGTGTCATCAGTGCAGATCTAAAGGACAAAAAGTGTAGAACACCATACTCTGGAGTCAAGCATGCTGCAGGCAATCAAGGGAAGTCAAACGTGGCTTGCTCAAATGGGCCTCAAATCTCAACAATACACCCTCAAATTCCAGCCCACACCCCCTTGGGTTTAGTCCTTTTTTATTTTTGTCATTTTCTTTTTTATTTACCTTATTTTATTTCTTATTAACAAATTAACATAATTAACATATTTTCATAAAAAAATCAAAAATATAACTAACATCATTATTATTATTATTATTATTTTATTTTGTAAATAAATATT